GCAAATACTCTTTTAAGTACTGGTAGATGTCATCCAAAAATACCTCTTGTCACATGAGCAGCAATGAGTCCCCTTCTCTTCGGCTGAATTCTGATCTTTGCAGCGAAAGCAAGTCCATTTCCATTCCACGCATGTCTTTGGATACAAATTTGGCTAATTCATTCAAATTTCAGGCAAGTTGGAATGGATTTCTCAGAAATCACGATCTGCCATTTGCTCCAGCCACTGTCAAGCACTCTGGGATGCTACCCTGTGTGGAGGATGCTATATAACTGCAAGTTATTGTTGCTCAATGAATAACTGCAATTTTGACTGAAATAAATTTGTATAACGCACAAGATGACAAATTAACTTTCCCTTCCCCAGCAGTTTCAAGAAAAAAATTGTTCAGATGTAAAGTAATGTCATTAAGAAACACAGCCAAGTTTCAATGTCGATTTCTGATAACTGTGCCAGCTTTCCTTTATGTTCCACAGGAAGTCTTGGATCCGCGGAAACAGTTTAAAAAATCTCTCCAAAATCCTTCCGCAACTCAACTAGCCAGCGAATAATTGCATATTACGACTCTTTCAGCAGTTCCACAAATTGCTGGTGATTCAGAACATTTGAATGAATGTAGTTGACTATTTTAATCACTGTGTCTATCACATCTTTCATTGAGTCATCGGAGGACATTTGAGTGCACAAATTCTCCTGGTGAATAATGTCGAAAGAGAACAGTGACTGTTGCTTGCTAAACATTTCTGCCAAATATCACTTCAGCTCAGTGACAAATCCAATATTTAGCCTGATCATTGACAATGCAATATCAGCAGTGACAGAAACAATTTATCGCGATTCAAACCAAATATCTCCAAAACTTCCTGGAAAGCAACAAATGTTCAAGGTTCATCCAATGCGATTGAAAAGGCAAACAATCACTGAGTTCAGACTTCAGCTGAGATTCAATGTTTTTTGCAAGATCTATCAAATGTCTGAAGGCTGATGGCTGATGGCTGAATTGCAAGTTCAAACCTTTTGCATCATAATTTTCCAGCAACGTTTCCAACACCACGGCGAGAATGTCTTTCACTAAATCACCATCAGAAAAGCATTTTCTCTTTCTGATACTGATGGAACTCAACTAGTCACACTTTTATGCTCAATTGGTCATGTGTTAGTGGGTGATGTATTGGACAACTCCATAAAAACTCTAGCCTAGACTATGAGCTCAAAGTCCAAACGTGGGGCTTGAATCCACAACCTTCTGACTTTGAAGGACAAGAATGCTACCAACTGAACCATAATAATAATAATAAGAATCCTTACTTACATTTGATATAGCGCCTTATCACATCTTTGAGATGACTCAAAGCGCTTCACAGAATATACTGTAAAGTGAATTGACTGCATACTTGTGGGTGAAATGCGGCAGCCAATTGCGCACAGCAATGTCCCACAAACAGTTGTGGATTCAAAATGAAAAATTTATTATTGTTTTGTTTTTTGGAGGGATTATTATTAGGCGTGTGGAGGAAGGAAACTTGCCCAAGGTTTCGCCCTGCCTGGAAATGAACCCAGGTGTCTCGCTTGCAAGGCGAGTGCTCTAACTACTGAGTTACAGGACTCCAGAATGACACACACATGTCTGGCCTCTAGTTGGTAACTCCCCACAGTAGTATGATTGAAATCAGTAACTCAAAATACATTAAATTGCAGTGCAGATTCATATCTTATAACTTGATGAAGCAATGTATTCCAGCATCCCTAAATGTGGCCGTTGAGGAAATCATTGGTTGAAATTGTGACACTCAGCAGAAACTTAGCAACCCTGGTCTAGACAAGTGAGATAAGCAGATAGTTGTAGTTTCACAACCAAGTTGACAACCAACCAAAGACACGGACAAAGAGGAAGGTCGTTTGACGGGACCTGAAGGAGGTAAGAGAGAGGGATTGCGGGATAGAGTTACACAGTGTGGGGGCAGGTAGAAACTGACAAGTATAAGGTGGCAAGAATGAGAGACATGTCTAAATTAGAATCATGAAAGTGATTACAATCAACGGGTATTCAGGAGAGATGGGAACGGTGGAGGGATTTCCATATATGTAAGAGGCACATATCACTTTCTTTATCTGACCAGATCTTGTGAAGACCATTTGGAGCAGCCTGATTTAAGAACAGGAAATAAACCTTAGAAATTCCTGGTCAGCAACACATTGATTATTTATTCAATGTACTATTGGGATTTAAACTGATAGCAATCATAGCAACTTGAGCCGTGTAGTTGGTTTGGGGTTAGAATTCTAATAGGAGGCGCTCTCTATTCTTCAATCTTATTAGATCAACAAAATGAGTATCATGTCTAATAAATTTCACCTGAGAAAGCACAGTATTTTACAGGCATACTTTATTATGCTGCTTCTCTGCTTTAATATTTTACATATCAGCCAGCAACCAAATCACTGTCAAAGATTCTTATGCATTGAGAGAGAGCCAGCTGAACTATCATTATTGCTTGATTTATTTTAATCAATTCCTTTTTTTTCAACAGACATTCTACATAGAAAATGAACAAGCACATCAACAACAACAAAAACTTGGCTCATTCCTCCTACATAAGAACATAAGAATTAGGAGCAGGAGTAGGCCATTCGGCCCCCCTAGCCTGCCCTACCATTCAATAAGATAATGACTGATTTATTCTAACTCCTCCTACACCATTATGTTTCCTTCCTCTTAATAGATAGACAGTTGGTTAAAGGATAGGAAACATAGGTTGGGTGCAAAGTGTTGTTATTCAGAATGGAGAAATCCAAAAAGTGGTGATCCCCAGGGATCCATTGCTTTTCTCCATGTATATAATTTCCGATATGAGTCGCACACTTTCACCCACAAAACACAGTCACTGTACTTTACAGTATATCCTATGAAGTGCTTTGGAGCATCCTCGTGATCTAAATGGTGCTCTACAAAATGCAAGGATTATTATTATAATAATAAATAAATTCTAAATTTGCAGATGACACAAAAATAGGGAATGTGGCTAACAATATAATAATAATAATCCTTGATTTGATACAGCACTTTATCATGTCTTCGAAACGTCCCAAAGCACTTCACAGAATATATTGTAATGTGAATTGACTGTATATGTTGTGGGCGAAACACGGCAGCCAATTGCATACAGCAGTGTCCCACAAACAGTTGTGGGTTAAAGTGACCAATTTATAAAAAAATTCTGAAGGAATTATTAGCCCCAGAAAAACGATCTGCCAATCGACTAATAACCGGGTTCCTACTTACTGCTAGGTAAACAGAGGCGTGTGAAGTAAGGAAACTTGCTCAACATTTTACCCTGTCGGGAATCAAACATAGGTCTCTCACTTCGAGGCAAGTGCTCTAACCATTGAGCTACGTGACTCCAATGAAGAATGATTATAACAATGAAGAAGATTATAAGCAACTTCAGGAGGATATCGACAGATCAGTTGATTAGGTAGACAAAATGTAATGCAGACAAATTTGAGGTTGTACATTTGGGAGAAAGAATAAGCAGAACAAGTATATGTCAGGAAATAACATTTTAAATGGGATGGAAGAGCAGAGGGTTCTGGGGTTAACGTACATAAATTCTTAAAGATGAAAGGCAGGTGGACAAAACTGTCAAAAAAGCATATGAAATCCAAGGTTTATAAATAGGGGTATACTATATATAAGCAAAGACGTAATTCTAAGCATATAAATTATTACTTAGACCACAGTTAGAATATTGTGTCCTGTGTTGGTCACCCCACTTTAGTAAGGAAGTTAAGGCCATATAATAATAATAATCCTTGCATTTGATATAGCGCTTTTCACGTCGGGAGGACGTCCCAAAGCGCTTCACACAACACATTGTAAAGTGAATTGACTGTATATTTGTGGGTGAACGCGGCAGCCAATTGCACACAGCAATGTCCCACAAACAGTCATAGATTGAAAATGACCAATTTATTATTGTTTTTGGTTTTGGAGGGATTATTATTAGGTGTGTGGAGTAAGGAAACTTGCCCAAGGTTTCACCCTGTCTGGAATTGATCCCAGGTGTCTCGCTTGCAAAGCGAGTGCTCTAACCACTGAGCTACAGGACTCCACACGGGGTGCAGAAGAGATTTACTAGGTAGAGATGAGTGGCTCAGTCTGTGAGTGGAGACTGGAGGAACTGGGACTTATTCTACTGGAACAAAAAAAGTTCAGGGTTCACCTGATGGAGGTCTTTAAATTTACAAGGGCTTTTGATTGGCAATAGAGAGAAATTATCTCCACTGATCGGTAAGTCAGTGAATAAGGGCATCAATTTAAGAATGCTCGCAAACAACTTGCATTATATAGCGCCCCTCGCACAGGGTAGCGTCCCAAAGCGCTTGGAACGAGCAAGTGAGAAAATTAAAAGAACGTTTTTCACACACAGAATTGTAAGGATATGGCATGCTCTGCTGGGAGTGGTTGTTGATGCAGATACATATTAGCTTTCAAAAGGAAAATAGATAGATATCTAAAAAAGGAGTTCACTGCAAGGGGAAAGGAAAAAGTTAAATAATGCAGGTATGTGTTATGGTATGTATTTATGATAAGCAATAAAGAATTCTTGCTTTTGATACAGCATATTTCAAATCAGGCAAACATCTCAACGTTTTTCACAGGATTTACTTTAAAGTATAGTGACTATGCATTTTCTAGGCAAACGTTCTGCCTTTACTGTAAGTTATGACTTACAAAGCAAAGTTCCATTTTTCCAATGATTTATGTTCTAAATGTTTTGCTTCATTTTCTGAATTTTAGGTAGAACATAAATATTACTCCATACAATATTGAAAACTAAATATCCCTCCACAAAAGAACAAGCGTTACTGCATCTTGTATGCTTCCTAATATACATTTCAAGTTCAAATTGAAACAATAAAAATACTGTATACCCAAATACTATTTAGCAATATAATCATATAAAGCAATATTCTTCCAGTAGGCTGCATTGACATACCTTATATCCAGGTCCTAGTTGGTGTATTGCAAATATTTGTGCTGGGTTGAGGGCTTCACTAAAGACATAAACTGCTCCAAGTTGGCCGCAAAATACTCTATTTGCATCTGCAGTTTCCGATGAACCGAGGAAACATTTGTCAAAGCTCTATACAAAAGACAGAAAATAATTAATATAATAATCTGGGTTTGTAATCCACATATGAGGTGAATTCTAGTTTGAAAATTATAGATTCAGTATTAGTTAAAACATACGTCATAAGAATATAGGCAAGCTTGAAAGTTCTGCTTGCATGAACATTCAGCCTCACTTCCAAAGATCAATCAATACCTGTCTGATTGTGAACTTCATTCTACAATGTCATCTCCTTTGGGAAGGTTCTGCATAGGTAGCACCTGGTTCCCAAAAGAGAATCAAGCAATATCTCCTAGACTTTTATCCATTCCAATATTGCCACTATTCCCTTTGTCCGAAACAACAAATATTTTCTCCTTCAATATTTGTTCATCTCAATTTGCACTTAACTGTAAATACTTCAATCATTTGAAAGTGCGAAATCGACAATGAATTCGTTTAATTTTGTTAGTCCATTCCCCATATCAATTATCCTGCAGTGGGAAGGCAGATAACAGCAGCAATAAACTATCTGGTGAGTTGCTGATTAAGACATTTTCAACTTGCATCTGAAAAATCAAACAGGTTTTAACATTTCATCCAAAAGATGTCCAATCTCTAACAATGAAGCACACTCCCAGTACTGCAATGGGGTGACAACTTAAACTATGCGCTCAAGTCCTAACGTGGGACTTCAGCGCACAACTTTCTGGCCCAGATATTACCATCCGATCAATGGAATCTAACATCTTTGTGCAGAAACACAGGGCTAAATTGTTTTGAGATATTTGTAATGAAAATGATAAGAAAGTTTTGTGCTTTTTGAGATTGCCACATTTAATAAATCCCAACTATTTTAAAAAAATTGTTTTCTAAGATCCCTAACAAAATATCAAAAAACTGTCCGAAACACCCTCATCAAACAATTTTCATAGTCACAAACATTAACTCATGCTTTTTTCACTGAACCTTTCATTCTTCTTATCTCTGTAGACAAATCTCCTCACTTACATCATTTGTGTTGACGTGCCAAGCCATATCGCCATAGGAAACCAGCTGACCATTAACATAACAACGGATCTCACTATTTCTCCAGCGGTTGTAGATGTGAACTATGCTGATCATGTACCACTACAAAACACAAAAAAACAAGATATAAACATGAATAATTCAGACCACTAGGATTAGCATGTCTGACAATCAATGAATGTTAAACATGATGGAAACCATTCACTTATATGTGCATCGAGTAAAGCAATCTCTCCTGTTACTCAGTATTCATTTTACTGCCTCTGGCAATAACGAACCTGAATATAATGCTGACTGTTGTGTGAAGTTACTTGTATCTTTACAGAAAAGCACTGATTTGGGCACTCATCTCTGATATTTATTTATTGGGCAATAAACCAACATGGGATCATTTGCTCTTGTATTCTAGAACATTTTTGTTTTATAAGTCACAATTGAACATAAATCTGGACCTCAATCGTCTTCCAGAGGTAGCAGAATACAATACAGGATATAGGAAAACAAACAAAATAACTTACATTTGCATTGTGCCCTTCACACGGGGGAGCATCTCGGGATGCTGAACATTGTTTGATGTATTGTTTGACGCCGAGCCGCGGAGAAAGGGAGGTGACCGTAGGCAAGGTTGAAAAGGAGTCTTCAGGTGCGATCTGAAGACGGATAAAGAGGGGGCAAGGCAGAGGGATTGAGGCAGGGAGTTTCAGAGCTTCAGGGCGTAATGGCCAAACGCACGGCCGCCAACGGTGGAGCAGACTGAAAGGGGCGGCTAGAGGTGCAAGTTGGAGAGGTAGGGAAGTACTGGGGCATGAGGTGATCTGTAGTTGAGCATGAGATCTTGAAATCAATCCATTCTGCGAGAGAAAGCCAATGGAGCCTGACAAGGACTGGGGTGACAGGGGTGTGGAACTTGATATGAGTAAGGAGATGGGTGCAGAGTTTTGAAATAGTTAGGCTTTATGAATGATGGAGCTGGGAAGATTGGCGAGGAGTGAATTGGAGAAATTGAGGCGGAAGGTGATGAAAGCATGAATGTTGGATGTGAGGCATGGTCAGAGTAGATTGATATGATGGAGGTCGAGGAAAGCAGGGATTGGATGTTAGGCAGGAAGGACGACTGGGGATCGAACTGTATGCCAAGGTTGAACATAGGTTCGGTAAGTCTGAGAAACAGGTCAGGAAGGTTGAGGAGGTCAGAGCTGCAGATGAGAAGATGGGAGCCATAGAGGATGGCTTTTGTCTTGTCCATGTACAGGAACAGGAAGAGGCCATTTAGCTCAACTGAGCTGCTCCACCAGCTTATTAGATCTTTATAGATATCCCAATGCTCTGCCTTTTTGCCATACCTCTACTTGTCTATCCATCTCTCTTTTCAACATGCCTATTAATTCAACCTTTACTGCTTTCTGGGGCAGAGCTTTCCAATTTCTTCACAACCCTCTGGAGGAAGGAATGCTTCCTGCTCTCAGTTCGAACTAGTTCTGATTTTAAGGATATGCACTTGGATTGATCACTGGTAAAGTTAAATGCAGAAAAGTTCTGATTCTGAATAATGGAAGTAAAAATAAAACACATTCTCCATTTATTCTAATTTTTACATACTCTAATTTTGACACAGGAGAAACTATAAGGGATTAATGTGGTGTTAGTTGACTCATCACTCAACATGTTCAAGCAGTGTGAAGTTGCAATAAAAGCGAGTCCAATGATCAGAATTAATGTCCAAAAAGTGTGTTACTCTGATTAGACTGCACTTGGGAGTATTAGTTCAGTTTACTGTTAAATGCAGTGCAGAACAGAGCAACAAGGTTTATCTCCTGTGTTAGGAAGGATGAGCTATGAAGGACCATAGATAATTGGTATCTTCAGCTTCACAAAAAGTTTCGGAGGGGTCAATATAGATATACAAAATCCTTTATGGGTTGCAAAAAGTGAATACTTTTGGATGCATCAAGGTACAAAGACAAAAGGGCACAGCTTCAGGGTTGTAAAGGGAAAGTTAAGACAGACAACAGAAAGTAATTCTTTATGCAGAGGGTAGTCAGTAGCTGGAACTTGTTACCAGAAAGGATTGTTGAGATCACGCAACGGGGTTCATTTAAGAAACTTTTTGATGGGAAGAAAATAAGATTGATATTCTGGAAAAATTAGATTACATAGGTGTTCTTTAACCAAATTAAATTTATCCAAAAAATTAATAACCATCTTTCAAACGTTATTCATCCTTCCAAATATATTAGAAAATTTAAAAACATCTTACCTTTCTAGGCTGAAAATCATACTTCACACAGTGCTGGAAACCTTTTCCTTTTGACTTTAATGATGTTACTATCAAACAGTTTCCAACAAAATGTGCTGAATAGCCAACTCCTTTACTCGTTCGAAAGCTGTAAAGGTAACAGATAAAAATGTACACTTCTTCAGAAATAGAGATCTATTATAAATTCGTCATAGCTCACTCAGAAAATATTTAAACAGTATGAAACAAATACTGAATCTTAGAAATTGTCCTTAAAAACTCTTAACATGTTTTCAATTTCAGTTAAATTTTAGCACAGAATGATGCTAAAAATGTCACAAGCCTCTTCGTAAAGAGATCAAATAATTAATTAATATTATTAAAATATGACATCTTGAAACAATTAGTGCAACAACAACCTTATGTAGCGCTCTTCACGTAGGATAATATCTTAGAACACTTCAAAGCTGGATGCTCTGCAAGTAGGAAGGGGGAGCTGACCACAGGCCCAGTCAATGAGCTAGGTTTTAAGGTGTAATTTAAAGATAGATTGAAGAGGGACGGGAGGGGGTGGGGGGAAGAGAATGAGGCAGGGTGTTCTAGTCATAATGGCTAAAGGCTTGGCCACCAATAATATTTATATTACATAATTAATTTATCAATGTGGTACTAAACTGTGGAAAATAAGTTCATTGTTCAAGACAAGTTGCAAATAGTTTAATAATATTTATAACGGAAGATTGTGTTTGATCAGTACCTTGAAAACAATTACAGCCGATATAAAGCTAATAATATCTGCTTGATATGAAGTATTTGGTGGTATGGTGAGAATTTATTCCCAGTTCAGCATACAGAAATTACAGGACAGAAGGGGGCCATTTGGTCCACCTAACATTTGTGCAAATGTTAGCTCTTCTATTGAACTCCACACCACTCACATCGAACTTTCCTGCTTTGTTCCCAAACTCTTTCGTATTTTCTCCTTCAAAATATTTATCCAATTACCTTTCAAATACAGTTATGATCTTTGTTTCATTAACTGCCTTAGCAAAGAATTGATCATCAACCACTGTGTGAAAAAAAACACTCTACGTAAGCGGAGAATAACATCCTTTATGGATATGCATTCAGATAGCAACCAACTCTCCCAGAAAAGTAAATGAAGCTTCTGCATTTCATCTCCACCAAAATGTCTGCATAGCAAAGCTACAAAAAACTACAACAATTATTGATAACAAAAGGATTAATAAAACAGCATGTCAACTCAACCATTAAACAGGAAACTTTGTAAACTGCAGGATATTTTTGCAAACATTTTTAAATATGAGTGTAAAATCTACCCAATATGTTATATATATAAGTGATGACCAAGGAGGGCCAATAGAAAATTTGCCAAAAATATTTGCCCAAAATGGTGGGAAATTTGACAAATATTATGGAAAATTGCAGGGAATTTTGACAAATTTTGCAGAAAATTGCAGGGAATTCATTGGTGCTATTGAGAGGCGTATTTTACTGTTAATCTACAATTTTTTACATTATTGATGAAAGCTAAACATGAAGGAATAACACATCATAGATTGTTGCAAACGAAAAAACAATTAATTAATGCTTTCTTAAGAACATAAGAACTTGCTAGGCGAAAGAAGACCAAGGTCTATCTAGTTCGCCTTCCACCATCCTGATAGTCACTTAACATGGCATGTCCCAAACTATACACTGTATCCTGAGATATTATTTTCTAGCAGAAATCTATCTAATTTGTTCTTGAGACAAACTACTGCTTCCACCGTGTTCTTCCACCATCTCCCCAGGGAGCCTGTTCCATAAGTTTACTACTCACTCACTGAAGTAGTGTTTCCACAGATTTGTTCTGAATTTACCCCCCTTCAATCGCAGGCCTTGTCCTCTGGTTCTACTGTTCAGTACAAGATAAAATAGCTTATCATGGTCGACATTATCTAGTCCCTTGAAACATTGGATTCATCACAAAAGTTCCAAAGTATTAACAGGAATATAACATTAAGCAGATTATGCATTGTAACTTCCAGTAGGGGTCAGTAATAGATAATTTAACAACCTAATATTGCTAAACAAATGCTCTCCTGAACAAACATCCAATACAAAGATTACCTACCTGTCTTTTTCATTCTTCTAATCATAATAAACTCCAAACACCACTGAGTTAAAACAACAGTATGTTTCTACTGCTAGAAGAGGGGATGGTAAAGGAATTTTGAGAGAAATGTTTCCTTTAAGATGTTGTGGCACCATGGTATTGAACACCACCACATGATTCCTGCCATTCTCACACCCTAAGTTAAATATTAACGTAGGTCCAGACTGAACAGCGTAGTTTCGTCCCTTGTTAAAAACAGAAATAGTATGGTTCTGTTTTTTTNCCTCCCTCACCAGAGGGATACAAAAAATAAGAGCGAGAAGTTTTATTTCAAAGGAGAATGTTACATTTAAAAAATGATGACCATAAAAGTTAGGTAAACTTTCTATAGTTTTTATTCAGCATCCTCCACAATATATTGCTAGAGGCTTGCTCTACAAGGAGGGTACATGATATAGTATTCAAGCCTATGCAATAATGCTTAGTGAAAATATGTTACTGTCTTTCAGATACTTTTCACTGAGACAATACCCAGCAATTCTCAAGAGCAATAGATTGCACAGAATGCATTTTGACCTCGACGGTTGGCCAAGTTGGCTTCTGGCTAAATTGTGTTAAAGCAAGATGGATTCCGCCAACCACTTAATGTGCTTCTACTTGGTGACAGTTAGTGAGAACAACATACAAAGTGTTGCAATGATAAATAATCCTTGCAATTAATATAGCACCTAATCACATCAAAATGTCTAACAGAATTTTTCTGACAAGTGTAAGGTCTGTATTTTTGCAGGTGAATGCAGCAGCCAACTTGCACACAGCATTTGCTCTTCTATTTTCAAATACTATTAATGGTTCTTTAAAAAGCAGACAAGACCTCAGTTTAATGTCTAATACAAGGAATTGTACCTCTGACAATGCAGCACTATCCCAATTCTGCATTGGAGTATCAGTATAGAATGTGAGCTCTACTTCCGCAATAGAATCCTTGAAACCACAACTTTCTGACCCAGAGATGAGTCTTACCAAGTGAGTAGAATTTATAAAGTAGAATTTCAAATATTTAGCAACATAATATTATCCAATAATTGAATTTTGATTCAAAGAAATTCAAAACAATAGATGCATTTATGTAAAACAAAATTTTGATTTCAGTCAAGCCCTTACAGGAGCTTGAGAGGTTGCTTATCCGACAACTTTTCACAAAGCAAGATACCGAACCTGACAGAAGTGGTCATAGAAAAGTTTGATACATTGACGTTAACAAGGATGGGTTAATCTATGAATTGACATCAAATAGACAGTAACCAAGAGGAATGGGTGAGATATTGTGGGATGAGTACCACTAGGGAAATATTATATTTCATTCCTCATCCAGGGCTTAAAGGAAGCAAGCAAACTGTCAAGTACCGTTGATAGTACATCTTACATCTTAGTAATTGTTTTGTTTCAAAGGCCAGGGCTTGAAATATTAAATTGAATGGCAATGGAGGCAGTATCTGAAAGTATCTGATCCGACATATGGGAGAAGAGGATCCAGCCTCATCACACTTGTGCATCCATTACCAATTGTTCACAATGATAATAATCCTTTTACATTTGATATAGTGCATTACCACATCCTTGAGACTTCTCAAAAAGTTTCACATAATATATTGTAAAGTGAATTGACTAATATTTTGTGGGCGAAACACGGCAGCCAATTGCAAATTTTGATTTTTTTTAACTTTTTTTTCTTAAAAGAGATTATTACTCCCAGAAAATAATCCACCAATCCACTAACAACTGGGTTCCTACTTACTGCTAGGTAAACAGAAGCATGTGGAGTAAGGAAACTTGCCCAACGATGCGCCCTGCACGGGAATCAAACCCTAGTCTTGCGCGGCGAGTTTTCTAACCACTCAGCTGCAAGACTCCAAAATATGGTTGAAATTGGATTCCCTGCCATATACCTTCTACATTACACTCCCTTTCATTCAGAGGTATTCCAAATCCAACTAACTGGCAAAATTTGATGCAAAATGTTAATTGTAATGATCATTTCATTGTGAGTTGAGCTGGCTGAAGTGGTACTTCAACTAACTAAGTTCAACTAACCTGAACTTCCTCTCACGCACCCATATATTCTTTGTATTACTAAGATAATCAAAAATTCAAATCTACCTATGATATATAGGTAATATTTCCTGTCTTAATGTCTTAGTGGACAAATGCACTGCCCAGTCTGGTACTGACCTACACAGATCAGGATGGTCCCAGTTTCGATCCCTGGTCTATATTGAGTTAGCTGATCTCAGTCAGGTTGGTGCACAATTAGCCTCTGTATCCCCGGACTAGGAAGGGGAAAAAAAAATCAGGCAGGTTTCCCCACTGCTGATCGTTGTTCTGTGATCCCTGCGGAAAAGTGCTTGCTTTGGACTTTGGACAAGAACAGGATCAATCTTGGCTGCAATGCACCCTGCTGAGACTCATTGCCTGAGCTTGGGCATCAGCAGCAACTTGGACAAATTAATGTCAGAACCCATTAAACTTCACTTCCGCACCAATCACTAACTTCAGGAGAGGAGAAAACTACTAAAGAAAAAAAAGCCTACACATAATACAAACCAATCTTATTTTAAGTCAGTTTGGTTTAAATATATCAGTTTTAGATTTGTTCCTCGTACCTCCCAGTATTGCTGCTGTATTGATTCCTTTTAGGCTTCTAAGTAAATGAAGGCAATTTGTTGGTTTAATTCAATTCAATTGATTAAACCTACAAACAAATTTAAAAAAAGCAGCTGCAGGCCAAGAGCTAATTAAGTATGGAGTTAAAGGGAGTTATATTGTTATGTAATTTGATGATGAACTTTAAAACATTCTGAACACTAAATACTACAGTACGGAGCACATACAAACTAAGTTGTTTCTATTCCTCTGAACAAGCAGCAATAAATATAGGAACATAGGAATTAGGAGCAGGAGTAGGCCATTTGGCACCTCGAGCCTGCCCCGCCATTCAATAAGATCATGGCTGATCTTCTAACCAAACTCCATCTGCCCACTTTATCCCCATAATAATAATAATAATCCTTGCATTTGGTATAGCGCTTTTCACGTCGGGAGGACGTCCCAAAGCGCTTCACGGAACACACTGTAAAGTGAATTGACTGTATATTTGTGGGCGAACGCGGCAGCCAAATGCGCACAGCAATGTCCCACAAACAGTCGTAGATTGAAAATGACCAATTTATTATTGTTTTGGGTTTTGGAGGGATTATTATTTGGCATGTGGAGTAAGAAAACTTGCCCAAGGTTTCGCTCTGCCAGGAATTGAACTCAGAATATAGTTAGTTAGTAAATAGACCTCACTGCCAGTCAATACCAGACAAGCTTGTGGTACACAGTCACAGACAACTTACTATATCCCTTAATCCTTCTATCCTTTAGAAACCTATCAATCTCAGTCTTGAATATGTTCAAGGACTGAGCATCTACAGCCTTCTGGGGTAGAGAATTCCATAAATTCACTACCTTCTGAGTGAAAAAGTGTTTCCTCAACTCTGTTCGAAAGGGCTGACCCTTAATCGTAAGACTGTGACCTCCAGTTATAGATTCTCCTACCAGGGGAAACAGTCTCACACTGTCTACTCTGTCAAGCCCTCTAAGAATCTTATATCTTTCTATAAGATCACCCCTAATTCTTCTATATTCTAGAGAATGTAGGCCTAGTTTACTCAATCTATCCTCTTAGGTCAAGCCCCTCATCCCAGGAACCAACCTAGTGAATCTATAATGCACCCCTTCTAAGGCGAGTATGTTCTTTCTAAAATAGGGAGACCAAAATTGCACACAATATTCCAGGTGCGGTCTCAACAAGGCCTTATACAGTTGCAGCAGGGCTTCCCTACTCTTGTATTGTAACCCTTTTGCAATAAACGCCAACATGCCATTAGCCTTCCTAGTTGCTTGCTGTACCTGCATACTAACTTTTTGTGACTGGCTTACAAGGACACCCAAATCCCTCTGAACACTGAGACTATCTCGTCTCCCCCCTTCTAGAAAAGCACTAATTGCATAGACCATATTTTCAATTACAAAATGAATTTGACTCCTACAAAAGCACTCTCACAAACAGTTCCCAGAGAAAAGGAAATTATGATTACATACCAGTAGAGATATGGTTTGTCCTTGTCCACATTTATATTATTCAATGGATCCATACGAAACCAAGTATTTAAAGTAAAACCATTTTGGTAAGGCCACTTAGCAATAGGAGGCAAGGCGATGGCCTGGAGAACAGAAAACAACAAATATATATCATTCTATTGGAATTTGTGTAAGCAACTTGTGTAATTAAGTGGTATTGACAAGATCTGAAACTGTAATGGGAACACTGCCAAGTACTACTAATTGTAAATTGTACATGTTTCCCAACAAAACTATTACAAAAAAGTTTCCCTTTTTTATATAAACCAATTACACATTAGATAATGAGTGGTGAAATAGTTTTAATAAACTTACTGCTGCACTCCGACCAGGGAAGTTAAAGAAGGTATCTGGGCCATGTCTTTGAGGCATCTGATTCAGAACTGAGAGCAATTTAACTGCATGTCTTGGCTGTTAAAAAGGATAATTAAAAATATTCAGTCTCGTCATTTATGAGCATTTTTTGCTTAATTGCAATATTGCATGTTATTTATTTTAGGCAAGAAAAGCACTTTGGGAGATCTACACAATATAATTATATGCTTCATGATCATTTACTGGAAGCTAATGCAGCGAAGCTGGACTTGAGTTTAAACGCAATACAATACAAAATTACATTTGTATAGCGCTTTCACGTCGGGAGGACATCCCAAGGCACTGGAGAGTTATTATGTAAACGATTAACATAATACTTTTGTCTCAAAGGCACAGCTTACCCAGATTCCATTTTCTCCACGCAGCATGCTGAAAAGTAGTTTCAATTCCTTGACAGTAATGCTGTAGCTGGCTAAAACACCCAACATATCAACCAGTAGATCTGCAGACAATAAGACATTATGGCACACCATAAATATAGATATTATACTATTGACCAGTAGATCTGTAGACAAGAGATTATTTTGTGCAATAAGTATAAGACATGTAACTTCATGTATTTCATACCCCACATTTTACATAAAGAGAGCAATTTAGAAGCAATGAAAAAAAATTTGGTCACTCAATCTACGTGAGACACTGCTGTGTGCAATTGGCTGCCACATTTCACCCACAAAATATACGGTCAATTCACTTTACAGTGTGTTCTGTGAAGCGCTTTGGGACGTCCTCCCGACGTGAAAAGCGCTATATCAAATGCAAGGATTATTATTATTATTCATGAAGTGCTTTGAGATGTCTCGAAAACATGATAAGGCGCTATAAATTAAATTAAACCAATTTAATGTTTCATTTGAAGGTCGGCTCCTCCATCAATACAGCACCCTCACAGCACCTCAATGCAGTGTCAGCCTAGACTATGTAAGTTCAAAGTCTCGATGGAACTCACTGTGATTCAGAGGCTACGAACTGAGCCAGGCTGACACAGAGGTGGCATGACTGCACTCTACAAAAAGCCCTTACTTGATCACTCTAAGCTCTCCAGCTACTAGCCTATTACCAACCTTTCCCTCCTCACCAAGGTGCTAGACCAAATTGCCACCACCCAACTTCACTTCTTCCTCTTCTACCACTCCCTCTTTGACCTCTTCTAATCCCGTTTCTACCCGGTCCACAGCACCGAGACACTTTTGGTTAAAGGCAAGAGAAACTCTCTTCTATTTTTAAATACTGCTATTGGATCTGTAAAATGCACTAATTACTTTCTCTCCACCTGCAACAGGGCTCCCTTTCCATCTTGTTCTCCTTGACCTTTGTGCCTTAGATACCATCGACCACCTATCCTACTCTCTCCTTCCTGCTCCAGTGGTAAGGCTTTGTCTTGGTTTTATTCTTAACTATTCCAGCATCTTCACTTAGTCTACTCCAATGACTTCACCTTCCGATGTTCATCAAGGCTCCAGCTAATTTGCACACAGCAATGCCCCACAACCAGCCAAGAAATGAAAGACCACTTTTATCTGGGGGACTGTTGGCTAGGACAGCAGGAGAAATGCCCTTCTCTTTTCGAATAGTGGATGTGATTTAATATCTATATGAAACAGTTTAACATCTCATCCAAAGGCTCTGACAATGCAGAGCTCCTCCAGCACTACATTAGTGTCAGTCGAGACTGTGAGTTCCAAGTTGCAACATGGGACTGGGCTAACACCTGTTTTAGTGAATCTGAGAGAGATACATTGATTGGTTTTATTTACATTTCGAGTTAATTTTAAAAATATAGTCCAACTGCAAAGCTGAAAGGCTAAGAGGAAAGTGAAAAGCATCTATTTGAAAGGCAAGATAAAGACAGATAATAAAAATAATAGCTTAATTTATTCTACAAAATAGATCCAGTTATATCATGTGGTTCCTTTTATTGATCAAACTCAAATTTTCTAGTATAAATCATGTTAAAATGAGATATTAAATAAATTGGTTCCATTTAATTGTTCAATAAATAATTAATAAATTTACATTTCAATATGCAATCATTATTTAAGTAAAATGTATACCCACTTCCAGATGACTAAGGCCTTCCTGATCACCATGTATTACAACTGCTAAGCAGTGGCAACCTGAAAGCCAGGGAGTCATGGAGCAATGACTTCACTTCATTGGTTTATTTACTTCATCCGAAAAGAACTGTCCATTGTGAGTGATTCACAGTTTAAGTGTTCCTTGAACCAAACTAATTAAAGTAGATCTATGGCTGATTTTACATGCCTAAGATTCACCACTCTTTTGTTGGTGAGTCAGGTGGCTGTCACAAGCAGAAACCTCTCAGATGTTCGTGAAACACACAGTAGTTTGGTTTAGAGTGATGGGCTTCCACATGTATGAAACACTGTAGGCTGACCAAAAAAATCAAAAAGTGGGTAACCCTGTGAGAGTGTTAGTCACCAGGAAAGGAGAAGATAAAGCTAGCACTGACAGTCTGCTTAATAAGTTTACTATTTTTTAAGTCTACTATTTTAAAACATCATTTAGGTCATCTTTCAATGCTGAGATATTACCAAATTCTAGTGAATATTATTCAAAAAACATTTCATTGGAATGATCTAAAAGCTAGTTTTGAAAACATTTGCAGCAAAAATGTTCCAACATCAACATATAGCATTAATAACAATAATCCTTTCATTTGATATAGCGCCTTATCACGTCTTCGAGATGCCTTAGAGCACTTCACAGAATATACTACAAAGTGAAATGACTGTATATTTTTGCGAGCGAAACATGGCAATCAATTGCTCACAGCAGTGGTCCACAAACAGTCGTGGATTAAGTAAAAATTATTTTTAAACCTGAATACTGTCTGACACAAAAGTGAAAAACTCAGTTGGCATTGGTACTCGAGTAGTACAATAGCAAGGATGTCAAATCCTCTCTGAAACCCAATGCGTGGACTGGATTGGTTTTAGTTGTGATACCTGCTACCGCGCTCTATATAGGCTTATATCTGAACAACTATATTTGTCTTTAGATTACTTTAAGAATATAACAAGTGTATTTTAAACAAATCTTCAACTTCTGTAGCCAATTCATTCCATTTCTCATCAGCTCACTTGCACCTGCATCGGACAATTGTCATGAGTTCAAATTTTTATTTGTTTAGGTTTGAAAGATGGGGAAACTTGTTGACTTTTTTTAATGTCACCCAGTGCGCAAGGCAACTGAGAGGTGTGATTTTAATAGGATTCTACTATATCAAGGAGCATCTAACTCAGCAATCTCATATAAAATTGAAACGGCAAGCTTCTGACACTGATTTGATTCCCAATTGCACAATATCTATAAAATGATGATCCATACGGATATACATTTTAGAAGGGTTTTAATCGATCAGATGATGGAGATTGACATACAGCTGACGCAAAATTTCCACTTTCTAATACCATTACCGAAATACCATTACTACAATCATGACACATGTATAAAGATAACTGAATTTTATTCTGGTAGTTTACTTTTTTTTAAGATTTCAATATATTTTGTAATAAACATTTGGATAAAAAACAATTATATTTTATTGAAAAATATAAGCATGAATCAAATAATGAATACCTGCTATCATGTCATCCACTTTGTTCATCTTTAGCAGCACTTGTTCAATAAGACCAACTTCTGTGCTTGCCTGTAGGTTGCGTACACTCTTTCGCAGAATTGCTGTAAACATACTCCAGATCTCTGCCTGGCAGGTTACATCACAGTGTTCAAGGAGTTCTATCATGCATGCTATACTCTCTGCGTCCTGAATTATGAAATTAATCTCCAAATCAAATTCGCCACCAACCAACTGTATAGAGAAAGAGAAGAAAGAAAGACTTAAATATTGCATCTTTTTGAACAGCAAGGTAACATGATTTGTACACATTAATACCATGAATTTGTTTTGTTAAGGTAGGGCTCCATGAACATAGATCACAATAAACCCATCCCCATGCTAAAAGGTTTCCAATTTTAATTGCTTTGCAGAAAAGTATGTTTATAATTGAATTGTAAGTGGGTAAGCTTCCTCCTGCTTATCCAGCTCAGACCACACTAGCAATTTCCTAGGTTAACAGAGCCAATATGAATTCAGTACAACAACAATTTTTGCACTTATGTAGTGTCTTAGACATTAGGAAGACATCTCACAGCACCTCAGAAAGTCAACTGGCGAGCCGAGATGATAGTGAGGATAGCTGGAGGGCGGTGGGGAGAGAGAACTGAAATCAAACTAAAAACTGCGGTATTGTAAGACCAAACATCTTCAATTCTCACATTATCCAAAATCATGAAATCTCAATCAACATTTTTATAAAAGAACTTTTGGTCCTGTAATAGATAACGTAGACAATGATACAGAACCCTCTGTGCTAATTAAACATTCCCTTAAGGATCCCACTGCCACCAAAAGAGAAAAACTACCCAACTGAAATAGTCACAGCATTTCAGCCAGGAAAATGATGGTACAATTATTTTACTGCTTGAGAAACATTTAGAAGTATGGTAATAGTTCCATTATGATAATGAACCACAGCAACATAACCCATGAAAGGTATTTGGGTTACACGCTAGATACAATCATACAGCACAAAGTGCATATTCATTGGATGAACAGTATAGTATCTAGCCAGTTCTCACTGTATCCTCTACGTACAAGCATCCCCAGTGGAGAAAATAATAAGTATTAGTAACTAATGTCACGTCCCTTATTAAATACAAATACAAAAATTAAGATATTTGCATATAACATATGGAGTTTTGCAGGATCATATGGATTCATTAGAATTGAATTTTTTCAAAAACGTGCATTATACACGTGGCGATTTTAAGCCAGAGAATAATTAACGATTGGAACGGTTGCTAGGAAATGTGGCCAAAGAGTCCTGTAGCTTAGTGGTTTGAGCACTTGCCTCACACTTGCCTTGCCTTGCGAGAGGACCTGGGTTTGATTCCTGGGCAGGGCGAAATGTTGGGCAAATTTACTTACTCCACACGCCTCTGTTTACCTAGCAGTATGTAGGAACCCGGTCGTTAGATTATTGGGGGATCGCTTTTCTGTGGATTGTAATCCATCAAAAAAAAATGTGATCACTCAATCCACAACTGGCTGCCACGTTTCACCCACAAATAAAAGTCGATTCACTTTACAGTATATTCTGTGATGCCCATTGAAACGTCTTGAAGACGTGATAAGGCGCTATACCAAATGCAAGGATTATTATTATTAAAGCCAGGATACTGAACACATTTACAAAATTGGCTTGATTGTATGATGGGAGGAGGATGCTGGTGTGGATATTCTGGAGGGATGAGATTAGATGGGTCAAAGGGGTTTCTACCAAAATAATCTTGTGTGTAGTAGATGTCACACTATTTTAAAAAGAGATGAGTTTCTCTCAGTGTCCTGGCCAACAATCCTCCAGATAAAGTGGTCATTTACTTCATGGCTTTTTACAAATTGGCTACTACATTCGCCCAAAAATACGAGGCCACCTTTCTTAACAGCAATTCTATGTGAAAGCTTTTGAGATGTTTCAGTGTTACAGGTGTTATATCAAACATTTTTATGAAAATAGACTCAATTTCATTTATATATAATGTGTTACTTAGATTACTATGTTTGTTTCTATGCTTGTTTCACCTAGATTCACTGGGTAGGTCAAGAGACATGGCGTAATTCTACCAACTCAGTTACTGTAAGTGTAAATGAAGAGGAAATGTTACAGAATTACATCACAACTCTAGATGAAACTGCAAAGCTCTGTTTTTCTATAAAGACTGGCATTTTAGTAGTTATAATAAATTGATACAATTTTCAGTTGACCAATCTGGAGCAAAATGTTACAGAAATGTTAAGGCGTTATACAAATGTAATCTTGTTGTTATTGTAAGCGCTCTGAGTCGTTACCCTACATGGAGGGCGATTGTTGTTGTTGTAGAAGAGTAAAATGTGTTATTCATTTAGACATTTACCATAATAATAATATTAATAATAATAATCCTTGCATTTGATATAGCGCTTTTCACATCGGGAGGACGTCCCGAAGTGCTTCACAGAACACACTGTAAAGTGAATTGACCGTATATTTGTGGGCAAACGCGGCAGCCAATTGCGCACAGCGATGTCCCACAAACAGTCGTAGATTGAAAATGACCAATTTATTATTGTTTTTGGTTTTTTGGAGGGATTATTATTAGGCTCTGTGTGGAGTAAGGAAACTTGCCCAAGGTTTCGCCCTGCCTGGAATTGAACTCAGGTCTCTCGCTTGCAAAGCGAGTGCTCTAACCACTGAGCTACAGGACAGGACAGCTACATGTAACCATGACACATTTGTAGTTATAATCAAATTCAACCCAGAAGAATGAACAATATTACTTGGAAATAGTTTAATCCGAAAGGGAATTCAACATGAGAACTATAGAAATGTATGAAGCTGAAGAAGGCCATTAAGCTCATTGTGTCTGTACTGGCTCTTTAAATCAAAGATGAAAGATGCCATCTTTCCCATTGCACGATTCGAAAAGAGAAGAGATTTTCTCCCGATTTCCTGGCCAACAATCTCTCAAATTAAATTAATTTCATGGCTGTAAGTGGGACATTGCTGTGTGAAAATGGGCTGCTGCTTTCATCTACAAATACAGTATACTATACGGTATATCCTGCGAATTGCTTTGAGACATCTTACTAATGTGAAAGGCACTATACTAAATCTAAGGATTATTATTTTACTCCCCTGCAATTTACTCTTTTTTAGATGTCTGTAGAGTTCCCTCTTGAAAGCTGCTATAGATTCTACCTCAACCACTGCACAGCGCAGAGTGTTCCATATCCTAACAACTCTGTTTAAAAACAATTACACCTAATCTCAGTCTTTGCAAATTATCTTACATTTATATCCTCCAGTCACTGACTCACTGACTAGTTGAAGTAATTTCTCCATATCTATGCTATTAAAACTCCTCATAAGTTTGAAGGTCAATCCTCTCCACCTTTTCTGTTCTAATGAAAATAGGAACAACACCGACAACAACTTGCACTTATATAGCGCCCTCCAGCAGGGTAGCATCTCAGTGCACTTAACCGTTGCAGAGCCTGACTCCGAGCTGGGGCGGGGGGAGGGGGGAGTTGGTCGTAAGCACGGTCGAAGAAGAAGGTTTACAGGCAGGACTTGAAAAAGGGGAGGGGGGTAAGGCGGAGGGCTTGAGGGAGAGTGTTCCAGTGTTTTGGGGCATAGTGACTGAAAGCGTGGCCTCCGATGGTGGGATGGAGGGTACGAGGGATGAGCAGGAGACTGGTGCCAGTTGAGCAGAGGCGCCGGATGGTGGATTGGGGAGTGAGGAGTGAGAAGAGTTAGGGAGGTGCCAGGGAGTGAATGGATTTGAACACGAGTGTGAGGATCTTGAAGTCGATCTGTTCGGTGATGGGGAGCCAGTGGAGCTTGGCCAGAACTGGTGTTTCTCCACCAGTTTCTTCAGTCTGCTCATGGGTCCAATCAATCATCCCTGATATCATCTTAGCAAACATTCCTTTGGCATATCTTTCATGATAATTTTCATTTATGTATTTAGCCAATTCCCTTTTAAATTTAATCTACTTAACTTAAACAGCCATTTGTGCTAAAACAACAACAAGATTACATTTATATAGCGCCTTTCACATCGGGAAGACGTCCCAAGGCGCTGCAACATTCCATATTCCAACAACTCTCCATGCAAAATAAAATTTCCATCCCACAATGATAGGTTTTGGTCATGATCCAGCCAAATGGATTGATGGTCCATGAGGCCAGATATGAGGATAGGTTTGGGACTTCAGCGAGCAGAGATGGCTGTCATACCAGAGATACTGCGGAATAAGAGACAGTTTGACAAACAAACAATCCTGAGTTTGTCAGGAACCATATCATTCCTCATCTCTTATTGCAAAAGTTTTCTGGCGTTTACTTCAAGATAATTATTTTGACAATTTTACTCCTCATGAAGATATTTATTTTTCCTTTTACTAGAGTACAGTTCCATAAATAAATATCACTTTCCAATACCTCACCCAATTATTCATGATACTTTATAGTGAGTTTGGCATGCTATTTGGAACAGGAGGGAAATTGAAACCAAGTACAGTCTCGTCTTGCACACATGCACATCTTCCAGCAGGGGTCTGTGAGTAGTAGTCAGATGGTGATCCTAGCTGAGTTGTTTGCAGTCTTTCATTTTGCAACTTTGCAGTCATTCATTTTGGGTAGATTATTAGTGCTATTTAAACTAAGTTTGAAATGAGTACATGTATACCATCTGTGACAAGCAGGCAGGGCCACAATCATTCTATTAGTTTTTATATTTAATATAAAGCTACATATTCCATAGGTTCTCAGGCAGTTGCAGACCAACAGTGGGCCTAAGGAGATGTTGCAAATTCCTGGGGATAAGTTTATGCATTTCAGTGACATTGGCCAATTATATTGGTTATTTCTATAAACTATATAGTTAATTTGTGCAAGAATTTTTTTGATTTGTCCAACCAATATAATTAAGAAAAATAGTACAACCTATACAAGGAGAAAATGGTGCTCGTGTTGCAGAAGACGTCATATAAAGAATGAAAAACTACAACCTGTTTTGTAAGATTAACTTTCTTTTAAATTCCCACTTCACAAAAGAGGTGATTAGGACACAGAAAACCAACAATTCACCAGGTTTATTTATAATCTATTCCAAATAGATAGTGGAGTCCTGTAGCTCAGTGGTTAGAGCGCTCGCCTTGCAAGCGAGACACCTGGGTTCAATTCCAGGCAGGAAACCTTGGGCAAG